ACATCTGTCGTCTCATGAAGGCTCAAGCAATGCACCATTCGCTCGAATGTGCGACAAATGACCGTAGACTGAAGCGCCACACTTGAGAAAGGAACGGTCAATTTCTCGACTGCCCACATGGGACATCACATGTGATGATATTTCGACTGGCAAACATCCAAAGACCATCAAAGAACATTTTTGGGGTATGTCCCATTCCCTGGTAGCAGTGGATGATGATGGTTCGGTCGCAGGCCGACATCTCTAATAAAGTGCATTTGCTTGTTTTCCGACGGTTAGAGGTTTACACCGTTTCACCCTCAAAGAACATGCCGTTGTTCATGTGCGAATGGACTAAACAGCACATGGGACCCGTCGAGTCGCGAGCAAGTCCACCAGGTCCTTGCAGCCCTTCATCTGAGCGTAATCCAAAGGGGGTTCGGCCTCGGGGGCGCTTTGGTTCATCATGGGCTCATCATGGGTTCATCAAACACAAGACAAGACTTGAGCATACTCAGCATGCTCGATGTTCGGCTTTGAGATTCAGAGTGGTGCGGGATGCGGGATGACTTCCTCACCATCGCGAGCGCGCGATAAGAACATCTCAGGAACTACACCCACTCGACGGAGTGGGAGCAAGCACGCTACTGGGAGCAAAGGGCATCGCTACTAGGAGCAAGGACGCTACTAGGGGCTCCTGGCCTTACTACTAGGAGCAAGAACGCTACTAGGAGCAAAGGGCATCGCTACTAGGAGCAAGGACGCTACTAGGTGCAAAGACTTCTTCTGCAGCTGCTCGTGGTTCTTGGACTCTTCGCTGAACTTCCCCCATGGAGTCTCTCTCCAATGGCTGCCAGCATCTTCCTCTTTGCACTTCTCAGTGGAACATCCCATGAGGATCCACTGGATGCTCTCGACCCTCACGGTACGACATCGCTCCCATCCGGACCCATTGGAATCGCATCGGAAGCATCGGGTGTGAGAGGGGCCGTCGAGCGGAATAGGGTCACACTCCTCCAATGACACGTTTTTGTCTGCTGCGACACCGAGCGAAAGACCCAAAGATACCAAAAGCAAATGGTGGCGAAAGCTGACACCACTCGCAAGCTGCGTATGTGTATGGCCTCTCCACCAAAAATGGCAGGCCAACTCCGCAGTCGCAACGCAGGAAGCGGCACCAATGTTCTATCGAAAATCAACCGTATTCATGCACCCCTGTTGTCACTCCCCACATCTGGATACGAGGGATGAATGGTCCCATGCGCAGTGCCAGAACAGAACCTGACATGGCATTGAGGCTTAAGGAAATGTGAACATCTAAAGTTTGGTCATATCATGTCATATCCATCTCCATCCAACCATAAACATCGGAAGCTGATCGCTCCTTAAATAAACCCTAAGGTGTTTGATGTTCACATCCCCATCCCTCATAAGTTTGGGCATAACCACCGCATGCCTTACATAAACCCTGGGGCCAGGGCGATTCTTGTTTTCCTCCGTCCCTGCGGGCCGCTAGCAGCTGTTGAACGATTTCTGCAAAGGCGTTTCACCTTGGATCTTTGAAGGGTCGGCAGTGCTCCAAAACAGCCAAAACAAGCTGCACGAGAATCTGTGTGTCTTCTAACACTGAGGAGAGTGGCCAACTTCGTTTAAGCAGTTGCTCCAAACCACCAACAAAAGTCTGTGTGTCTTCTACAAGCACGACTGAGAAGACTGGCCCGCCCCGTTTGATTTGACGTTCAACCGCAGCGTTCACATTCTCTCGAAAGCAAGAGAAAAAAGATGTGGCCATTATATGACGAGTACTTGTCAAATTGCTCCAAATTGAAGACTTGATAACAGTGGGTTTGCTCCAAAACTCTGAGTTTTCCACCGTCATGGTCAGCCACCTGTGCTGCCCTGGCAGCAAGAAGCTCCTTGACGATATTCCCGCGATTGAGCGTGGCAAAATGCGCTGTTCGGCCTCGGGAGTCGTTCCAATGCATTTTTAAGAGAATGACAGAAGTGAGTTGGCCATGTCGGCAGAACGCCAACATCAACACGGCATTTTTTACAAAAAAAATATCTAAAACAACGGGTCATGGCCGCCATAATTATTGAATTGTTCCCTGACGGCTACCTCAAACCAAAGGCATCCAAACATTCGACCAAAACGACTCGAACTGCAAGTCCCAGTGCTCTAGGGGCCTTCCTTCGAGCTCCTCAGCACCAGGTTCGCTGAGACCGTGACCATTCTCGTCCGCACTTCGGACGGCAGCTGGGTCGTCGTGGAAGAAACGCTGGACCGCCCGGAGCAGTCCAGCCCTGGTGGCATCGGTGATGGTTTTGCCTCAGAAGACAAAAGCTCAATCTGCTGCTGCCGTAATGTACTGTATCGTGTGTCCTGCAAAAGCGATCTAAGTGCTCAGCATTCAGCCAGTTGAGCTCTGTCTGCCTAGAAGCGGGGTTTCCAGCCCTACCAGGCTAATCACTGTGATTTCTGGAGATGTAAATGATTGTAAACGGATGATGAGCCCGCACCGTGAACCTCCAGGCGAAAGGAAAAGGATACAGTTAAACCCTGCTCCTCGACCTCATTGAGTACTGTTTTTGCATTTTCCCGGACCCCCAAAAAATGAGGTCCGTAAGACCTGTAGGGAACTGATGAAAGTGTCACCTACGACGACCCACACGATCCCGAGGACTTCCCGGCAGCCTCCTTGACGACCATCTTGGTCTCCTTGACCACCTTGGTCTCTTTCACCGCCGGCTTCGGCTTCGGGACGGCCGGCTCGTCCGAATGGACGTGGGTGGGGCGGCAGAAGAGCCCATGCTTCGCGGCGCACGTGAAATACGTCACCTCCTAACGATCAAAAGATATCGGTGGCGATTCCACAGCACCAAGGGTGGAAACATTGGTTCTATTCTCTTACAGCTATCGCCGACCAAGTGAAAAAAAACACCAGCGAGGACTGCAGTAACTTGTGTCGAATCTGATTGTGGTTGCCAACCACCCTCCGTTGCAGTCCTGCACTGTGCCATCGTTCTTTCCTACAGCATCGTCCAGCTCGACGCCGATCCAAGATCCAGTCGCAAAGCTAGTGGTTCCTTATGTTGACGGAGTGTTCCTAGAGGAAGCTCAACTGCCAAGTCAGAACAAGCAAATTGCCATGAAGACATGGAACTCCTGATTCCAACAACGAATGATTAAGGACAATGTAAATCTCTCTTTCTCTCTCTCTCTCTCTCAAAAAGGCCAAGTGTCCATTGAATCTAACAGTGCCAAAGTGCCACTTCTCGGCCGCCAGGACTTTCACTCGCTTCCCCAGCTGATGCTCTGCCACGATCACCGTGGCTGGAGCCGAGACCCTCCGAGCGCTGCTGGTGGACTCTGCGGTGCTCGGTCGCTGCGGCTTCGCCCGAGCTTCGACTGGAGCTCCTTGGGACGCCGAGGCACTCCTCCGGGCCTTGGCAGAGCCCTGGCAGCACGTGTTCAGCTGGTTTGGGTGTGAGGGTTGGTGGAATTATGATGAATTATGTGGAACTTGGGAGTATAATTATTGTTGCTGCGTCTTTTCTGCCTCACAAGAGCTTTTTGAATCCTGAATCCGGATCATCAGAGTTCAATGGGTTTGCTTCATCAAAATGCTGGTTGGTTTGGCTGGCATATGCACATTCTTCAAACGTGGAAACCCAGTCGCTCCTTGCTGCTCATCACATCCCGGTCTTCATGAGGCTGCGGCCCAATCAACTATGCCCAGGATCAGATCCGACCACAGAAGGCCAGAAAAGAAGCAAAAGTGAGGACTGAGTTCAAACCCTCGGACTGCGGGCCAAAGGACACCGTCGCCATGCTTGGCTTTGACATCGTCGCAACTCGAAACCAACTCGCCATCCAATGAAACAGCTCGCTGTGATCTGCTGCGTCTCAATGTGGTCTCTACTTCTTGCATCAACAGATTGGAACGAAGAAATTCATCTTACCAGCAAGTGTTCAGACCTGAAAGCGAAAAGGTCGAACTTTTTTCCTTTGCAATTCTGCAATTGTCTTCAGTGTGAGACACCTCAGGGCCAAAACAAATCTAAAAAAGGCTTGCAGATTTGGGAAGAATGCAACAGCTCAAGTTCTTA